TCCCTTCTAGAAACAGCAGCAGCACCAGTAAAACACCTAGGAGGGCCTCTGTTTGATGTAATGTCAAGCTGGAATAATCACATTCACCATGGGCTGTTCAGTGGGTAGCCTTGGGCAGGCAGGTCTGACTGCTCCTAAAGTGCAGAGTTATCTTCTCCACTTCTCCCCATAGAATATTCTGACTTGTGCTGGGCACAGGGCCCAAGTCAAACAGTGCTGGCACAGAGCCAGCCCTCAAAGAACTTAGGATGACTGAGTCTGAACATGTTGGTTTCACCGTTGCCTTCTCTAACTCAGTCATCCAGCCTAGCTCCATGCAACATGGGCCCAGTGAGCGCAGCAAATGTCCCCATCAGACAAGCCCTGCTAAAAGCAAAAGAATCCCTGGGTCCCTGGCAGAAGCAAGCAGCATGTGGGAATTTAGGGCCACACATCCTGCCTCACAGCTCCCAGGGCAAAGCTATGTGGAGAGTGCCTCTGGTGCTCTGCTCCATGGTGTGGTGGACCAGCGGCCCCCTTTTGTCTCCTTTTCAAAGCAGGGGGCCTTCTGGAAGGGTCTGGGAAGTAAGGCCAAGACTCCTGGGTTCTCATAAATCTTTTAATAACAGTAAATGAAGAAAACATTGTAACAGTAAGTCCCATGGTGAGGGTTCCTTTTCATTCAGGGATCATCAACAAGAAAAACACCTAAGACTAAAATTCAAAATGCTAAGTACATAAATTAATGACCATTTCTTTCCAAAGGTGACTGCAGAACCATCTTGGTACAATCAAAAGGTTTTAGAAAACAGGGAAAACTCATTACAAAATGCCTCAAGAGATGAACAAACTAATGGGGGCAGAGGGACCAAGAACCAGCTTGGCAAAAATACTCACCATGCTGTTTAGGGGGATTATATAGACTGGTCTAAAAGGGAGCCATCAAGGGGAGCAGTGACAGGGAGGGGTCAGCCTTTGGGATGAGGAAGGACAGGGGTAGGGTGTAAGAGGGACAGATGCATTTGCCAATTTCCTGGCAGAAATAATTACAGATCAGACTATCTTATTCTCTCCACCACAGTAACACCAATAGAAATGAATAATTCTTTAAAATATAAAACAAAACTGACAGTGGAAGTTTCTAAAACAAGAGCTTAGCTTAAAATGACTTGTTTCATTTCATGCCACTGAGCAGCAAACCACTGTACAAAAATGTCACAGACAAGAGCAACAACAAATGAGTAGGTTTTCCTGAGCACAAACTGAATTGATCTATATACATAAAAAGAAGGCTCCCTCTCTGTCATGACTCTACCCACCACCCAGAGGGCAGGTCAGGGTAGAGCATGCAGGAGGAAGGTCATTTCTGTCTGGGGCCTTGCCAAGGAGCACACAAAGGCCTGTAGGCCCCCCTCTTATGTCTGCTCCAGATTCACCAAAATCAGCAGTGCACCTGCATGTTATCCTGCAATGTCATGCATGGCCCTTCTATATGAATATATATATATATATATATTTGGGTTTTAGAGAGAGGGGAAGGGAGGGAGAAAGAGAGGGAGAGAAACCTTGATGCAAAAGAGAAACATCAATTCGTTGCCTTCCATACACACCATCAGGGTCCAAACAAACAACCCAGGCATTTGCCTTGACCAGGAATACAGCTGGTGACCCTTTGGTTTGCAGGACGACGCCCAAGCAACTGAAGCACACCTGCAGGGGCTCGGCCCATCTTTTTTCCTCCCATACCTCCCCTTAAGTCTTCCAAAGAGGACACATGACTCTGGATCAACATCTAGAGATTCAGGGAAGTCTTTTTGGCCAAGGGAACAGGAAAAAGGGCTTTTCACCACCTAGTGAGGGACTCAGCTTACTCCTACAGCACCACCCAGCCCGAATGCCAGTGTCTGGAGACCTGCTGACAATTTGTTATCTGTGGGTAGCTGTGTCTACTCCCCAGAAAATGGAATTATCAAGCAGCACAAATAGCAAAGCCCTGGCCAAGGCTGCAGCTAAAGAGATGATCTGATAGCTAGACTTGTGGTACTGGATGGTAAAGTGCACTGCCCGTGCTGCTTATCCCAACCACTCTGCAAGCAGCTTCTGTGAATACTGAGAAGTTCAAGGAGAAAGAGAGAGCACTGACCTGTGGAAAAAGAGTCTGTGCTCTTCTCACAAGTTCACAGAGTTACACATCACTGGGAAAAAAAATGGGCCAGGTCATCCTTGGTGTCCAAAACCAAATACTGAGACTGCAAGCAGGCATGACCATATTCCTGCTCTTCTCAGCTGATGCCACAGGTTGGACAACTGAACAGACTGTTCTCATTGGCCCATATCCTTGGCCAAGGCTACCCAGGGGCTTGAGGGAACACTCATTTCTCTTCTTAGGGCTGTTTTGAAAGAAGCTGTCCACTCCTACAAACACTCTCTCAAACACACACTAAGCTTGCACACGATGGCTAATGACATGGAAACTTGGCCAGAGTGGTTGGGGAACCACCTTGGCACTGAGAGGAAGGCCCTGAGGAGGAGCTGGGAAGTTCAGGCCCACTGGTAAGGGCGCCTCTCTTTAAGGCAGGCTGCCAGGTTTTGGGCCAGGTTTGGTCCAAGGTGCAAGTGGGGTACAGACCAATTCAGATGCACACTGCTCCCTAACACCTCAGAGTCCCTGGTGCCCTGTGGAGCCTCTGGACTAGGTTCACTCTCTCTTCCTCCCACCTCCATGTTTCTGAGCCAGCTGGCCCTCAGAAGCCTTGCATCTCCCCTTCACGTATTCCCTCCTCTGACAGGTGTATGTGTCTTTGGCTTGGCCAGGACAGGCACATGGTGTTCACTTTCTTTCCTTCCAAGCAGCAGAAAATGCCAGCCAGAATGGGACACTGAGCTGTAGCCAGGGTAAAGGCAAGCTCTAGAGGCATGCCAATGCAGGGAAAGCTTGGGTGGACTGGCAACTGTGCCACGCCACACAGGGAGAAAAAGAGCTTCTGCAGAGTCACTTATAGCCCTGTGGCCAGCTGAGGCATGCCATCTGCCTACAGAGACTTCATGCACTGGTAGGGGGCAGGGCAGGCCCCTAAAGCCTCTACCCATGACCTCCTTCCAACTTTTCCTTTTGTTAAGAGGCTGAGAGGCACTGAAGCCTTGCACATTTCCTTATCAGCCCATCCTCCATGCAGCACTTTGATGGTGGGCAAGGCAAATCTAGATAATCAAAAGGTTCCTCTTCTGGAATGCAACCCTAGGTTGAGAGGCACTAAGAAAAACTTCTTCATTACCTCAAAGACAGCAGAAAATGAAGGTTATATGTCTCTCAGAGCCCCATAGGGACTCTCAGAGCCCATAGGGACTCTGAGTCCCCAGTGTTCTCTCTCTTGTTGCTCCACACCATGGGGGTTGATAACGTCAGCGCCAGCAGCCATCTGCAAAAGGGCGGTTCCATGGTTGCTGCCCTTGGCCTCCCCTTGCTCAGAGATACTTTCCTACATTCTGCTACATCCCATAGGTCCATTTGCTAAAATTGTAACCACTGAGTTACTAAAGCTCAATCTACATCTCATACAGTAACACCTGAAATATTGAAACTGGTCCAGGGTAACTGGGTTACCTAGAGGGGAAGATGAGAGGGGAAGCCCACCAGAGGAAGTCACTGAACCATTTTTTTCTGTTCTTAAGTAAATCTCCTTAATACAAGCTAACAAGAAGTGAGCAAAAGCCCAGCCACTGTCTCCCTTCTTGAGATCCATTAGTGACTTACCTAAAGTCTTTCAACAAAAGGTCTTCCATTTGGAGCAGTTGCATCTCCACCCATGAGGATTTAATTCCTTGGTACCTCCCTTTCAACCTAGACATGGGCTTAGGAGTAGGCAGGGTGGGGAGCATGTGATGCCTCCCATGATAAACAATTCAGTACTGTATCTGGCTGCAGTGATGATATCTGGCCCTAGGGAGACAACACCAGCAGGATCTGTATCTTCTGAAACCCAGGACGCTGATATATCCTGTGAAGCCACAAAATTCACTGGTGAGAGCCCCTCCAGAGAGATGCCCTGGTGCAAGGATTCTCCAAACTCAAACATCCAAAAACAAATGAGAAAGCAAATAAAAGCCAAAAAGCAAAAAAAAAAAAAAAAAGCAAGCAAACAAACAAAAACCAAAGAGAGAGAGAAAGAACCTTTAAGGGGCACTCAAGATTAAACTGGCATCTCTTACCAACATGAAACTGAAATGGGACATATGAGTCAAATCTGTTTTCTGTTTTCTCAAGTTACCACTTCTGTTGATTAATTTCTATGCTCACTTTTGATTGGGATGTGGGCTAGTCCTCAGCTCTCACAGACAGAGTGTGCCCAGGGTCCTACCTAGAATGACTTGTGGACATTTAAATGTTGTTCACTTCAGATTTGCCATTGCAGCAGCTCTCTATCCTCTTCAATGCAATCAAGCCCTTGGACTGGGTAGTGTCCCATCTCCCACTGCAGGCAGCCTCCTGGAGAGTGTGGCTGGTTGGCTGCTTGCTTTGAGTCATGAGACACCAACAGGAAGAATCTGGCCAGTTCTATTTTGGCCATGAGTTGGAAAATCCCAGGGCTCTTGGCTTCCTGCTGGTATAGAAACAAGGCCTCAGTCCCCTTACAATGGGGGCTTTGCTGGAGACAAAGGGGACCCCAGCACAAACCTGTAGGTCCCTGGCAGTGGAGAAATGAAACACAACCAATCTCACCACTTCTATGCCCAAATAACTACTGCTTGTTGTTTCCTTTCTCCTCAACCAGCTGTTGTTAGAGTACCAACAAGCAGAGTGAAAGCTACAGACTACTGTCTCCCTATGTAAGGCCACTGGGAGGTGGAAGAAGGAGCAAAGGGGTGAAGGATCTACCCCTTTAGTGACTGGATCTGTCGATCCAGCCCTCAGCACTACACCCATGTTCCAGGCAATGTCCTGGGAGGAAGAGCTGGGGAAGGAAGAGTGGTGGAAGAAAGGGACAGAGAGGAGGAAAAAAGAAATACACCAAACATTGTACTGCCCTCTCCCAAGGTTTCATTAAGAACTGGGTGTTCTTCAAATCAAGTCAGGACTTGTTTCCTCAGGGAGAGAAAAAAACCACCTTCAGTCTATTTTCTTGGCTGGAAGCCGGAGCAAATCCAGCAGATATTTACACAAGGGCCCAACCATATATGAGAACAGGATGACCAGCTTCCCGTGGGTCATGGTCATGAGAGTCTGGTGTCCCGAGGCCCAGATGCGATACCAGGGGCCGTAGAATGGGTCTGAGATGGCCGGACACAGCATGTTGTTCAAATTCACTTCGGTGACCTGCAGGGACAAGGGAGGTAGAGTGAGCGTTCACCATCCTTAGGCTTTCTCTGGCTTCTGCCAGTTCAGCCATCTCTACCTAAAGGGAAACTAGAGAAGTAGGGATTAACAAATCCCCACCGGTTCATAATAGGATTTCTCTCCCCTAGGTTTCATGAGTGAGTCAAAGCTAGAGCCCTCTGGAGGTGATGGGGAAAGCCGTTGTCCACTAGAAGATCTGTTTGGTTTTGCTCCATCTTGCCTACTATGTCGAGCGGAGGACCTGTTGTTATTCCTAAGCATTTACTATGTGCCTAGTCCCTGGAAAGGTGTTATGGGAGAAAAGAACAGTTAACAGCATGGTCCCTGCCTCCACATAACTGGCAACCAATCAAGTTAGGGTGATCTGTCTACCACATCCGACCTTAGACCAGATGGAGCTCATCAGGTCTGCTCCACCAGGAGATCTACATAGTGTACAGAATGTGGACAAAGTGTTCAGGTAAGATTTCATGAAGGAACTGGCACCTGAATGCACTCATGAAGGATGGATGGGGGTCACGGCAAAGAATGGAGTAAGCAGAGCCTTCCTTGTAGGAGGTGTGGCCTGAGTCAGCCTGGAAGTGGGATCAAGTATGGTATGGATGGTGACATAAGGACACTGGCTCTTCTGGAATCAAGGAGGCCCAGTAGAGAGCAGTGCCAATAAAGGTGTGAAGGTCATACTACTTCATCCCTATTGTCAGGAAGAATGCACACCTTAAGCAAGGAGCTCAAACCACACCCCTAGGTAAATGAGAGTAGAACAATATGCTAGGGTAGGGGAAATAAGGTAACTGCTTCTACAAACACACTGCTGACATCAATTATACACCCTAATCCTGCCAGGTCCTGCAAGGTTTCACATGGAAAATACTACATTACTTCCGCTCACACACAAAACCAGACATGCCACACCTGCCCCAAGGACAGCCACTACACCTTACTTCCAAAGCCCTTCAAACCCATTCACATTAAAAACCAGTCCTCACCACCTGTTGGGGAGGTTGGGGGTTTTGTACCATGTCACTGAGGGGTGCAGAGCTCTCCACCCTTGAGGATGAGGTGACTCACCCTTGAGGATGAGGTGGCAGAACCAGGACTTGAACTTGGGTCTCCTGACCCCCCCAGCCCCAGCCCTGAGCTTTTCCTATTCACTTCGCCACCAACAGACACCCATATACTCAGTATTCTTCAGTTTTTGATAATTCAAATACTGAGTCCAGCCACCATCCAAGCTCTCGGCAGGTCTGAACACCCCAGAATGTCCAACACTGTACTTCCACTGACCATACAGCTCAGGGTCTGGGAATAGGCTCAAAGGTCTACCCAGCCCCAGAGTAAGGGTTATGGTCATGCCTCCCCATTGGATCCACAGCAAACTACTTTCTAGTTGCAGCTCACTGTTTCTGACCCAAGTGGCCATGAGTGAAAGGTGGCATCCTTGACTCTCAATGGATGAAAGAAACAGCCATTACTAAAGGATTCAGAAAACTGTTTAGCGAAGCCACGGCTGCAGACCATAAATCAGCAACCCAGACACAACAATCTGATGTCCTGGCCTTTGGTATCTTGTATTTTCAATACAAAACAATGCACCAGTGCCAACCAGGATTATCAAGGTTTATGAAGAAACTCCAAACAGAGGGGATAGAAGGGGTTAGAGCCAAACTTACCAGGCCCAGGATCTGTAAGACACTGAAGTGATAAAAGAACATGAGGCCAGTTGAGAGAAGTGCCCACTGGAAACAGCTGAGGGGCTCTGGGGTGTAAACACCTAAAGAAAAAGGGGAGATGGTGAGGTAGCAGGGTTAATGACACACTTCTCTTCCTTTGCCGCACAAGGTGCAGGTGCTGAGGCCACAACTGCTGCCTGCAGATTACCCCCTTTCAGTGCTCAGTGACAGCTACCTAAGAGACAGCCCCACTGATTACCTGGGTACTCCAATCAGCCCCCTCCCAAACTCTGTTCTGCCATGTAATGCTGAGACCATTACAAAGAGAGGGCTTTTACTTACTGTAATAAAATAAAATGTGACTAAAATAGAAATAAGCTGTAAGTGCCAAATACACAGATTTTGCATATGGAAAGAATGTAAAATATGTTAATTCTATATTGATTATATGTTGAAATGATAATATTTTTATTAAGTAAGACACTAAAAATTTAGAAGAGTAAAACATGCTCATTAAAGGGAATTTAGAAAATGTTAAAGAGTAGAAACAAGATGGAAGAAAAGAAGAAAATCATCCCCAGCTCTATTACCCAAATGCAACTACCGCTAGCCCATGAGTGTGTCTCCTTGGCTCTTTATGCCCTAGGAGTTCTTTTCTTTTGTTTTTAATTATTACTGGGTGTGTGTGTGTGTGTATTCCCTCAAGTTTCAGAAGAGAAATGTCATTTATTGGGTATAGCATAGTGGTTGAGAATGTTAACTGTGATGTCAGACAGATTTGGTTTTAAACCTGTATTTTACCACTTACTGGCTGTGTGACCCTGGAAGAGTTGTTTAAACTCCCCAAATTTCAGCTGAGTTTCTGTAAAATGGATGTAAGAGTCCTACCTACTTCTTAAAATTGTTGTGAGAAGTAAAGGACATAATATATTGAGAGCTGTTAGAACAAGATCTCATACCATGTAAATGTATAATGCGTGTTAGATGCTATAATTACTATACCATTATTATTATTCAAATAAGTAAAAAATGTGTCACATATAATGGTAGTGCCATGCCCCAAGTGCTAGACAACTCCCTCCCCTAGTATATCACAAATAATATTATTTTCCCTGTATCATTACTAAGAACCACCATCCCAGTAGGCTTATAAATATTGTTATTGTCACTCTGAATGGAGCCTTGGAAAGGAGTGGTCCAGAATGAAAGGAACCTGGAACCCTTTACCCCAAGCAAGTAGGTGGCAAAATGATTATACATCCTGGAGTAAATTTTTTCAAGTGAGTCTTTCACTGATTCATCCATTCATTCATCAGTTATTAGGCACCTATTATATTCTAAGGCAGGGGTGTCAAACTCATTTTCACCAGGGGCCACATCAGCCTCGTGGTTGCCTTCAAAGGGCCAAATGTTATTTCAACTCCTTAACGGTTAAGGACTAGTTACATTTATACAGTCCTAAAATTATTTCAGCCCTTTAAAGGCAACCACGAGGCTGATGTGGCCTCTGGTGAAAATGACTTTGACATCCCTATTTTAAGGCCTATGCAAAGCTTTGGGGATAGGAAGATAAAAAAAAAGATATGCTCCCTACAATCTCAGATTTACAGTCAGGCAGGGGAGGAAGACATAACAATCAACAATTAATTATAAACCAGTATGACGGGTGTGCAGACCAAGGTCCGTACCACATAGAGGGTGGGCAAATGTAGGTTTACAGCTGTGAGTAAGCAAAACAGAATTTGATTCTTATATTATTCTGTATTAGTTATTGTATTATTTTCCATTTTAACAACTGTGAACACACTTTTGTTCATCCCTGTATTATGGAAGGACAAAACTCAGCTTTGTGGGGAAAGTGTGGATACATGAACTACCTCTTGGTTCAGTGTGCCCACAGTTGTGTAAGAGTTGGGGCCACAGAAGAGAGTGTGCTGGGGTAGAGAGCTGAAGTAAGACTTAAGAGGTTGGCAGAGCTGGTTTGCTCCGAGCTGGGCTACATAGGACTTTAGGAGCCAGGCTGAGGGCTTTATACTCCACCATGTGCTGCAGGATCATGAGCCCAAATGCCTCAAGACTCAAGCAGGTAAACTGGGAGCAGAGGACTGACCAGGGACAAAGAGACATTAGAGATACTAGAGACTGGCCAACTGGAAAGCCCATGCCCCTTCTAAAGAGGGCAGCCACCACTCAGCTCCATCCAATCATTAACCTGCATGCACGTGGGCCCAGAGTTGCCAGTTTTATCACTTTTGCAAGAGAAGCCAGAAATAAACCTTTCATGTGGAGTTTTTCTGATTTCTAAGTGTCAACAAATGATTCAAAATGTTTTAAGCATTCTCAATGGACTGAACAAAACATTTCTTCTTAGATAGATTTCTGCCCATGGGTGGAACAGCTTTGCGCTTTGCTGCAGAGCCACAGAAAACATTGTGAGATTTGAAGCTGGGAAGTGATGAGATCAGATGTCTGCTTGAGAAAGATCACCCTGACCCACTACTGTGAGGAGGATGGGTTGGGGAAGAGGGCATAGAGGCTAGGAGACTGATAAGGAACTGCTGCAGGAACCCAAAAAGGGAAGAGCATGGATGGCCTTTGAAGATAATAGCAGTAGAGAGGGAGAAAAGTGGAGGAAAAATCAGCAGAAAGTCATAGAAGACTGGATATTGGAAGAAAGGGTGAGTAAGGATCTAGGCAGACTCCCAGGCCTCTAGTTTGGTTGTCATTGGGTTGATACTGCCATTTATTGAGATGGAGAAGGCAGGAAAACAATGAGGCCAATTTTAGATGTGCTGAAATTCAGGTGCCTGTGGAATATCTTACCAGAAATATCTCTTGGGTGCCTGGATGAATTCTGGGACATATGGTGTGATGGGTAACAGAGTGAACATCAGATCCTGGCAGACACAGGTTTTCAAATCCTGGGTCTTGGTCACTTATTAACTCCAGGGTCTTGAGCAAGCCCGAGTATCTCTTGAATTCAGTTTCACTCATCCATAAAATGCGGTACCACTGCCCACTTCACAAGATTGTTGGGTAGATGATGTGAGATAATTTAAGTAATGATTGTAGTATCAAATCTGGGATTTAACAGATTTGATTTTTATTATTACAGGCATACTTTGGAAATATTGCAACTTTGGTTCCTTGCATTAAAGTGAGCCACACATTTTTTTTGTGATTTCTCAGTATACATTTATATCATACTATAGTCGATTAAGTATGCAATAGCATTATATCTTTAAAAACAATGTACATACCTTAATTTAAGAAATTGTATTGCTAAAAAATGCTAACCATCATATGAGCCTACAGTGAGTTGTAAACTTTTTGCTGGTGGAGAGCTTTGCCTCAATGTTGATGAAAACACAATATCTGAAAAGTTCGATAAAGCAAGGCATGCCTGTATATGAATCACAAAGTTAGTGAAGAGGATGGAGCTGAATGTCCAGATATAGGTGTCATCAGTGCATAATGGTAACCAAAGTCAGAGGAGTATACGTAGACCAAGAGAGGAAGAAGTCTGGAAGCAGAATACTGAAGAATTCTATGGGGTGGGATGGGGCTGAGGGTGGAGGGGAGAAGATGAGCAAGATGGGGTGGCTAAAGCCAAGTTGGGTCTTCTGGGGGAACAGGTCAGCCCTGTTCTCTGACAAGAGGCAGAGTCACAGCACATCTGAGTCAGAAGGCCGCTTGAGGGTATCAGACTCATCCCTCTATTTTATAGGGGGAGAATGAATGGGTCTGGGAGATGGGCAGCACCACAGCCAAAGTCACAATTGCAGAGCACTGGGCTTTCAGACACTTCCAGGGCACTGATTGCTCAATGCCCCTTGCCATTCGTGCAGACCTCCACCACACCAAGTTGTACCATTTCTTTCTTTGTCTGTCTAACCACCTAGACCAGAGTGCCTTGGGTTCAAGGGCCATGTGGAACTCATTTCTGTGTTCCTAGCATCTAGCACGGTACTCGGTTTGTGAACACATGAGCTATGTACTTACTTATGCTTCATGCACTTTCTTATTTGCTAAATAAGTGGGAACTGGTCACCATGTTGTCACCGTGGCTTCTGGGGGCTTATATAAAAGGGAAGAAGAGGGGACCTGGAAGACTACCATTCATACCACTCCCTGAGCCCCAAGCCATTTTCCCTACATGTCTCTGCTGTCTACCTTCTACTTGGCTGCACCTAGTGTAGCTGGGCAGTAATGGTAGCTGCAGGAAAGGGACAGATGGGGAAAGTATCCTCATCCAGGAGCCAGCTCAGCCACAGACCTGGGAAAAGCTGGGATAAGGACTCAGCCACTGGGCAGCCCCCTCTCATTGTGCTCCTCTCTGCCCTGCCCTGCTACATGGAGGAAAAGGAACATCCAGACACTGTCAGAGGCCATGTTTCTCAGTGTTCTCACTGCTTCTTGCCCAAATCCCCACTTTAGTATCATGCCCTCTGTATTACATCATCTGTGCCACATGGCACTGTTAGTTCCCTGAGGGAGGGGCCATTTCTGAATGACCTTTTTACCTCTAGCACCTGGTACACAGTAAGCACTCAGAAAATGACCATTGAATGGGTGACTGAAGGGCACAGACTTTCTGGCTCAACAATCCTACTTTTAGGACTATCATCAAATACCTAAAAACACACAAAAAACAAGAAACCCAAAGATGTTTACATCTGCACTACCTATAATCTTGAGAAACTGGAAACAAAGCAAATGGGGAGGTAAGTTAAGAAAACTCTGGTACCTCAATATTGTGTGACAGTCCACTGTCATTCAAATGACAGAGTAACAAACTAATCCCTGGCTAGTAATGGCGAGTGTAAAAGACAGAACACCAAACAGTACATCAATGATGGAAAATACAGGTTAGTAATTTAAAACAAAGGGTTTGGGGTCAGACAGCTTTGGGTTTAAATCTTGTCTCTGCCACTGCCCACAAGGGTGACCTTGGGAAAATTGTGCTATCCCTCTAATCCTGTTTTCCCTCTGTAGACTGCAGTTAACCTCTCCCTTTTGAGGCTGCAGAGTAGAACATATAGAAAAGTAAATACAGCAGCTAGCCTGGCATACAGACAGGCAGCAGCTGCTATTTTTACCA